AATTAGTTTCTACTAATGTGGTCCCATACTAATGTGGTCCCTTTTCCAATTCTGGCTCGGGCTCCTGGAGGGCAGCCTTGGTAAGGGGTGGCCTAGGAAGGAATGAAAAAAGTGGTTTTACGTAAGCGGGCATATAAGAAACTATAGCTTTCTGAAGGGCCTGGATTTCTTGAAAATCTTTGGTTGAAACATTTAGAAAGCAGTAAGCAAAAGCAAAGACTGACGGAGCTGGAGCTTAAAGCAGCAGCAGGCTCTTCAGAATTAGTTTCTACTAATGTAAATTCGAGACTGAACAGCAGCTTTGCAGTAAGTGTAGTTTAAACTACTTACTTAATTCTATTATCAGGATAGGTCCCCCAAAAAGTTTCTTTAATTGTAGTCCCTTTTCCCCATACGAGTCCTCGGATTATCCCCGAAGTCACCTCAGGGCCCCGGCTAGTTCATTCTAAGCGTGAGCTACTTGGCGCCAACAAGGGGTCTCTTCTTGTTAGGGTTGTTTCAACTCATGAGCGGAGAAGATTGCCCGATTACCCCGCCTCCAACGAAGCTCTGCTCGAAGCGAGCTGGTTGAGCTGCGCCTTCGCTTTGTAGCTTGCTGACCTGGACAACTTTGACTGCGGGAGACAGCATCTGGTCACAATTGAACCCTTGGGCAGGAACCAGCCAGCTCTTGCCAGCTGAGGTGGCACCGACGAACCCAATCGCCAATGCAGGCTGGGCCCGATCCGCCTGAGGCACCCACCAATTACACTTGCAACGCTTTTGCCGACCATCTCTCATTAGAGTTCTTTAGCCTGTGGCAGAATTAGAACACAAAAAAAACACACTTTATCATGTGCACCTCCCGCACATGTCTGGCCCAGTTCTCAGTAGCCGGTGACAGAGTGTACCTTCGCATTCCAACTCAGAGCAAAGGCCATACAATTGTCATATGTGCGCACCCGGGCTCCCAGATCTTGGCCTTACTGCGATTGATAATTGGTAGCACACCACTATGGGAAAGCCACGAACCCAAGTTCACGGCCGTCTTTGCACCACACCTGCTGGTTTGCACGAGTGTCTGTGGTTGGAAACCATGCTCCGGTACAAATGCAGAACTTGGGATTATCGGGATTGTCACAGACCTGCTATCTGCACAAGACCAATCGGGGGCTATACCTGGTGCCCATTTTTAGCAGCTTAGGACCGTAGACCTTTTGGTGAGTCATGTCACCTTCAGAGTAGCTAAGATGATGACTCCCATGTTGGCGTCGGCACGAGATTGAGAAGCCGCTGGCCACCGTCTACCTAGGAGGTTTCAGGGGCAGCAGATGAAAACAGTTGATAAAGCTCGAAGCGCAATCGTGTCCGGCTTTGCAAATGGATCACTGGGAGTGTGTATGATGCTGCACGTCTTGTATAATGAGACCCGCCTCATGGGCTCGACTTGGTCGCGGAAGTGCCACAGCGGGAACACTGCCCAGGTCCTTGCGTGCTCCAGTAGCGAGGGACAAGAGGTTGGAGTGGCGAGGAAGCTTGGTCCCCAACTGACCCTTCGTATCCTTCAGCCATGCACGTCAGGCCTTGGGGGGAGGCACTTGCCTGGTAAACAGACGTGCGCATCTTTGCGGACGGAGCGGTCACATGTCGAAATTTCGAGCAACTGCGTCTGCCACAGCAGCTTGGTGCATGGCGCCCATCTCCGCTGGAAGGGCGGGAGGCATTGGTTATCAAACTGCCAAGTTTCAAGATCTTGCAGCATAGGCTTTGCTGCGAGATTTTTGCCGTGTGCATTTACGTGCACTTATCCTTTATACTCTGCCTCAAGCTTGCAGCGCTGCCTGCACGGCATGTGAAATGTGTCACTAAACAGGGCAGGAACAAGCAGCACATGAAACCCTAACCTTGAGGAAGTAAAGCCCGCAAAGCAATGCGAGAGAGTTTGACCAAGAGCTGGAATGGCAATGCGCAACCGACATGACAATGCGGAGCTGCTAATTCATAGCGGCATAAGCTGAAGCCCCCCAATGATGTATGATTATCATTATCTTGGAATACGTATCATTCATGGGCGGTAGGTGTTGTATTCTTACGGGGAACGGACGATGAGCATGTGCGTGCGCCGCGGAAACTGCTTCCGTCAACACTGGAATGTGTTTTGCTCATGCGCATGTTGACAAGCCATTCCTGTTTTGGATACTTGTGGCTGCAGTTAGTGGCTATTCCCCCCAGCGGTGGCCATCTTACTACAAGCCTTGTGAAATTTGCCCAGGGCCTCCTGTTAGGACATTTAGGACCTTAGTTTTCGACTCATTGAAACGGAAAGAACCCCTTCTTGAAACCTTGTTCAGACTTTATCTGGGTGGTTGTGAGCAGCGTAGCGTGCTAAAGCTAAAAGCGCATACCGCGCAAGACCCGCGGGAAGAAAACACGTCGGAAGAAATGTCTGCCATCTGCGGAAATGCATGCCTTGTGGAAGAAGAAGTACCTCTCACAATTGATTGGCATGTCCTTTTCGCCAACTTCTTTGCAAGCGATCGATCCTAAAGGCTCGTTGCGATTATCCAACGCAGCTGCTTTGCAGGAGCTGTCGGGTAAGGCAACTGCCAAGGCTCTTTCCTTCGATCACGTCAGCAGGATAAGCCACCTTGCCAGTGTCTCAGACAATGTGCCACCACGAGCCTAAGCGAGAAGACGTTCAGCCTGTTTATGTGCACTACCTGCTGATATTTGCTGATGCTGTGGGTCCTATGGTAGCTAGCCCACAATCTGCGAGCTCTAGTTTGGTGCATTGATGCAAGGCCCACCCGCATTTTGTGCACTTTCAGGACATTCTCAGCTGTGCGCGTGACGAGCTTGGCAGTCAAACGGTCGGCCGTAAGTACCTTCATCCAATGCAGCCCATGTGGTTATGCCAGAAACTCCATGCTATGTTGCTGAAGGCTTCCAAGAGGCGGATATTGTGAGCGATGTCGTTGAGGGTATGGCTGGTGCCCAGGCCCTCGTGCTGGACATTACCAAGTCACTTCCCACTGCCGGTCTCGATACAAAACTTGAGGCCGGAGCCATTGTAATGACAATGAACGCTGCAATTGCTGTGCAAGCCAACACATCCATCCTGCCGGCTTCTGTTGGAAAAGCATTGGAAAATGTAACTTCGTAGGCTTGCAACAGCAGACTCTGTATGTCAAGCAGTCCAGCTCAACGCTATGCGGCTGCTGCCAACCGACACGTTCGACCTCAGCGTCGAGGCAAATCCTGTCATGTCTTGAGATTCTAGCTGAGTACCCTGCGTAGGTGAGACTTCACACGCCTCAGGTTCGACATGGCGAGGAGCCGCCAGTTTCCTTGCTTCCCAAGAAACGAGGCCAAGACCATCCGCTCACGCCTTATGGCATAGCACACGGACATTCTGGGAGACCGAGGCGTGCTTACAACCCCTCTCAGCCTTCCAAGATCTCCGACTCCGACCTACGAAGAAGGAACTTGCTGAGAGCGCAGCGGGCGGTTAGCCTGTACTTCGCCCATCTGGCATTCGCCTGCGAAGTCAAGCTGCCACCCACTCTCCCGCGAAGAATGGGCGACTTCTGTGCAGCTGTGCAACCACATGGTCGCTAGAACTGCGTTACCTATTTCGATCGTGCAGCTTTTGGCGCTGCTCCTTTTGCGCCCATGCCATAGGGCCCGGAGGAATCTAATCCTCCAAGCCTCCAAGCGTCGTTAACTGGAAGCAATTGAACGCTTCCCTCGACTAGCTTCCCTTGCTTTCTCAGTTTCCTCGATCTCCTTGTGCCAGTTTGGGTTGCCCGGATCCTGGAAGCAAGGCATGCCAGCTACCAAAGGATTTACTGACTGGGAGGTACGGAAAACATTCTGAGCCAAGACTCCTGGTCATGTCCTTGGGCAAAAGCGCTGATAGCCATATCAAATCGCTTCAGCCCTCGCAGCGCAACTCCACGCCGAAACAATGACTTTGGCCAAGTCGGAGCCACTTCTTCGCACCTTGTCGCATCGTCTAGAGCAGCTCTGAAATTGCCTGAGGCGGCATAAGCAGCACTCCGGTTGGAGAGCAATGTCTTTGAAGTCTCTGTATCCGCGAGCTCCAGGGCTTGAGTGTACAAGGCAATCGCTTCCTGGAAATCTTGGCCTCGGAAGGCCTGGTCACCCTTGTTCTTCAGCTCCGTGCTCCTCGAGGGTGCTGAAGCAACTTCAGTGCCGCCAGCCATGGCCTGGCTAGTTCCCTGCGAAATGGTGCATAGCGCAAGTCAGGAGGCGGTCCTAAAATTGGTTAACTACAGGCTGCAAAGCTGTGAGGTTGCTTGGTTTGGGACAGGCCTGCAGAGAGATGGTGAAAAACATGCTCTGCTCCAGCCGCATGTTCAAACTCACACATGTCCTTGCTTCATAAGCCTGGTAGCTGGACTTGAATAACGGCGGTGCCGCATGAACATCAGTTCTCTGTGTCCAGAATGGCGCAGCGTATCTACTCGAGAACAGAATTCAGCAGCAAGCCTGGCCTGATCTCATCGGTATCCGCGAGTCACCAGCCTAAAAAAACAAGACTGTCTTCCCCGAACTCCTGCAAACTCTACGCATAACTGACCTGGACTCTCCTGGCACCGAGCCAGAATGCCTCAACTGCGGACTGCTTCGGCTGTCAGTCTCTGCATTGAGGTCTACTGCAGTAGGCGCCAGGGCAGCTGCAATTGGCAACAGGAAGGAGGTCGGTCCACTTAGCACGCTCCCTGCCGAGTGATGCCACATATGGGTCTCTCATCCATCTCGTTAATTCATAAGCACATTCTGCCTATCAACGCAAGGAGGTCCGAGAAAAACCTCGAACAAAGCCGGTGTACACTTTCAAGGGTTGAACAGCTGGCCGTTCCAACGCTATCAGCTGCGGCGAAGAAGCGGAATGGAATTTGCAATGGCCCAGGCAGAAATGAAAATGCATACCTGGCCATTGCCAATATTTCGCATCATGTGAGTTTCAGGATGGCAGCCGGATTTGCAAGCTGGAGATATGGCGCACCACGCAACCCGCAAACTCTGCCTGAGATCGGACACCACCCGGCCTCCACAATGTATGGCACCAGTTTCCACTTGCATCACGCGTGCAGTTGGGGGGTCACCGGCTCTGAGGCTCTGGCTCACGAAGTCCCACGTCTGCTCTGTTGGGAGAAAGCCACATGTGAAGCGCACCTACACAAGTGCAAATCTCCGGCTTGCCATGTCAGAACAGGACATTGAGGCACGCGCGTGAGATCACCACGTTCTTCACCAGAAATGCGATGGCCACGTGCGCGAACAGTAGAATGGACGCCTGTCTTTCGTCTTCTTTGTGCAGAGAATGCATGCTCAACAAACACGCAAGCTCCACCCAACGATAAGGTTCTCCATCGGGCAAGTTGTCCAGGAAGTAGCCTTGGGCCTGGCGCCATCACAAGCAGCCGGTTCAGCGCAGCACGCTTTCTCCAAGACCTGATCACCAGCGAAGTGATAGCCTCATGGTGCGGTGAGCATGCTTTGAACTCACTCTAGCAATGCGTAAGCCTCCGGCCCCAACAGGCCACAAGCAAGTAGAGAAACACCTGAGGACAAGCGTGCCGCACGCCTGATAAGCAAGCCCTTCACTTCAGCTGGCAACCTGGAGCGGAGCATTGATGAGAAAGACCAAAGGGAAGTGCTCCGGCCTGTCTAAGAAAACCCAGGGCTATCCGTGGCCACTGCTGCTTCTGTGTTGGAGACGTCTGCATGTCTGCCATCAGCTCGAAATACAGCCAGTGGCCTCAAGCTGCATGAGTGGAACCTCCAGCTTAAGTAGATGTAAAGCTCCATCCACCCAGCGCCTGCGTAGGAGTAGACCACGTTAGAAGCGGCTCCAAATACCTCCCACAGCAGCCAGTGATGTAGACACCAGGCCAGGCCAAAGCGAAAAGCAAAAGCGCACACTCCAGAAGGTGAGATCTTCTGCAAAAGCAAAGGTATTGACCTGCGAAGCTCGCCTGGCGAGGGGAGCTCCGTTGTATTCTCTCAGACAGCTTTTTGCAGGCGAAATTCCCGATTCCATCCCATTCCCATAGCTGCAGCCAGGCTGACCCCTCAAAGTACATTTTCGCCATCACCTGGCAAATCCAAGTCAAAAACACGAATTGCGAGCCACTTGTGCACCTGCTTTGCCGGGGCTCGCACAATGGCAAGTACCGCCAGAATGAGGAACAGGTTGATGAAACATAGGATCACCTGAAGAGAGAACTCATAGTTCAAGAGTCGCGCGCCTTCAGCTTCCAAGAGGCCGTGACTGAATCTGACAGGTGTCTCACTGACACTCCAATAGGCAGGCCTTGTGATACAGCAGCAAGTAAAGCAACAGACATCCCACACCACGCGACTGGGTTCTGAACACAGAAGGCAGGAAAGTGCTGTTGCCCAAGGTAGGCAAAGAGCGCTTTGGAAGAAAACTCCCTGAGCTCCAGTCACATTGAAAAAGTTCATTGCTACACAATCGAATGACTACCAAGCCTGCAGGCACTGCCCCAGGACCAAAATGTATGAGGCTTGGCCTGCAACGGGACCCCATGAAGCAAATCAGGTAACCCAGGCATGCCTATGCATGACATTGCGGAGCCTAGAAATCCGAATCCGTAGACAGCAAAGTACGTCGCCGAGGCTGCTTTGTCTCCACCCAAAGTCAGCCTGGCAGCCTGAGAGTCCACATGCATCCCATACCGGGTACAATCGCAGAACCTAAGCAGCAGCAGTAGCAGCAGCAGCAGCAGCAGCGGCAGCAGCAGCAGCAGCAAGCGCAAAAACAATGAGCATACGTTTCTCAACCCATCTCTTGTCATAGCTGCTCCGACGCCCGCAGCCCACACCTATCAACACAAACATCAACACCAGAATGAACAGCGGCAAAAACAATAACACCAATCAGCCTGACGGCATTGACAACAACCTTAGCAGCACCAAGAACGATAAGACAAATACTGCACAGCAGCAGCAGCAGCGGCGGCGGCGGCGGCATCAGCTGCGGCAGGAGCCGTGGAAGCGGCTGCAGGAAGCGGCTGCAGGAAGCGGCTGCAGGAAGCGGCTGCAGCCGCATCATGAGCACCACCAGTGAGCCCCCAGAAAAAACGCAGCCACAACGGACTCGGCGACTACAGAGGCAGCAACCATGACGACAGAAAGGACTGCAGCATCCTGCCTCCCCCATGGATGACGGTCGCACGCCTTCACTCAGAGCCGCAAGATCTGCAAGATCCGGCTTTGACCCACAGAGAAGTACATGCCCACCTCGCGTTTTGGCTAAGGCGCTTCCTGTCCTTGCAGTGAATGTCGACACCGCGTCAACCCAAGCTTGAGCAACACCCCTGCCTGGACATGAGCAGCGCCGTGTAAATCGACACTGGGGCTAAACCGATGATGAAGATAATGGTCCAAACCTGCTTTTCATATGTGCAATGTCACGTGCATATCAGCAATTATCAGCAGCTGTACGCAGTCCGACCCAGCCAAGCTGTCGAGCAACACCTGCAAACGTGAGCACCTGGAGCTCGGACTAGGTGCTGCTCGCTAGGCTGTCAAGCTACAGACCAAAAGCACAGCACCGAAACACATGCTCGGCAGCATAATCACACGCGAAACATTCCCTCAGCTTGCTTTATTTGACTGGCCAGTGCAAAGTGGACTGCTCAGGCCCCCTGGCTTACTGGCTTGCCCATGGGTTTCCGGTCTCTTGTCGGCTGACACGCAAGCTCAGCGTGCAAAGATCTCAGTCTGGAACAGATGTGCCCACAATGTCTGTAAGCATTATCCAGCTTGTACCTGGCTCGCTATGACTCTCGGAGTCGTGTTAGATCGTGTTAGAAGTTCCATCATTGCGTGGCTTCGGAGGGGTCGCCAAGCCAATGGCTACCTCGATGCGCATGGTGCGCGGAAACGAAGGACATCTTGCCTGCAGGCCCGCAGGGCTTTCAGGTTCAGAAGCCCAATGCCTTACTGTCTTCCACAACAGAAGTCATTGCCACGAAAAGAGTGCCTGCAATGCGGCGGCAGATTTACATATGCGGCGTCTAGGCCACCCAACGATCTAATCAAGGGCTACCCACTTTTTCATCCTGCCATATCCTGCTATATCAGTCTAAAGTGCTGACAACTTGTCATTTTGCCGTATTAGCCTGTTGAGCATTACCTGTGGGTTGCTGGGGCCTATGTCCTCACAGCTTCATCATGCATGGCACAGCCTAACTCCAAGCCAAAACGAAACAATTGCCAATCACAAGCACGGCTTTTCAAAAACTCCTGCTACCCCCGAAGCAGCTGCCCCCTTCCTCGTCGCAGCCTCCGCTGGCAATATCTTGCGTAAATCCTTGGAGAGCCCTTCAGCTACCTCAGGAGGGAAGCTGCCCTCTGCCTGGCGCCATGTCCAAGCAATGGCACTTCCCGCAATTAGAATCTGCAAGTTACTTGGGCATACCACGCAGGCACATTGGCAGACCGTTTTGTAGATCGGTTCATGCTTACAGCTTAGCGTTAGTCTTGATCCCAAAGCATGCTGGAGCGGGGCCTGTCGCGCACACGCTCTGCAGAAACGGAGCTTGTAAAACCTTAGTGGTGCGATCGCAGATTTCTCACAATCACGCATCATCCAGCTGCAGCACTGAGTCGAGCACAGAGAACACTTGTCATCGACGCAGACTGGAGCAGAGCAAGCACTGCACAGCGCTCCCAAACAGATGGTCTGAACCTTCAGCGACAAAGCAAGCACCAGGGCATCTCGGAGGTCTACTCTGAGAGTCATACGGACCCGTATTCAGCAGAAGACCTTGAGCTCAGGAGCTCCAAGCTTGGCCTACAAATACTGGTAGCTTTTCTCTAGCCAAGCCTTAACACCAAAGCCTCAGGAGCAACATCAATGGCCCTCGAAAGTCTTGGAGTTCAAGGCTCTGGAATCCAGAGCTGTTCTGGACAACGGCGTTGAGGATATCTCTTCCTTCAATCGTTTCCTCCTCTTGCCTTTCTTCTAAGCAGCCGCACGCACCCCTAAACGTCACCTCCAAGCCCCATCGGGCTTTGAACTCATGTTCGAAAGGAAGCACAAAACGCGACCCAAAAGCCCTAATGACTACAGTGCATTGACTGGCGCAGTCGCGGTGCACGGTTTGCTTGTCACTGACATGCTGAGGTTTAGCCCTCTGCCCGTGCTCAGCATGAAGTTCTTGGTTCAAATGCAATTTTTGGATAGAGTGGTTGGTACAGTAAATTCAGGAAGAAAGCTACACCCGCCGGGACTAACGCACCCCACTCGGTGAGAATACGTCATCTACTGCGGACGCTGGCATTGGGAAGATTTCACATCAGCGGGATGTTTACACATCAGAAAATGGCAATCCCCTTGTAGACGCTGATTCCAGGGTAACTTGAAGTAAGGGTGGATTTTCCCGTTCTGCTGCGGACGCTGGCATTTGAAAAGAGAACCACTCGAGTTAAGTCTTAAATTCCGCATGATTCCCCATGTAGACGCTGGTTTGACACATGCCTCAACATGGGATGATGAGATACTGTCATTTCCCGATTAATGCCGTCAGTTCACATGAAGACCCCCTGTACCTCCAAGCATTTTGTTCGCAATTTCCGAGATGAGTTGCACCTTCTTATATGAGGATCCCTAGTACATCGAAACATCTTAAATTCCTGTGGTAAACTTCTCATTTCATTTGGAGCGCCCCTAGAAACCCCAATGGTTTAAATGCAATTTCCGTGAGAAATCCGACCACTGGGGTTTGAGAAGAAAATCACAAGAACAAGCCGCGCGAGACGGTGTTCGATCCTAATCGATTGAGCAATGGCACGTAAACAATCAACAAAAGAAGAGGTGGCCTTCCTCGAGTTGCAACTGCATGGATGTGACAACGTCTGATATCTAGTATTACAATGAAGACGTGCCAGACTGAAACTCTGTGGATGCTGTAGAAACATCACAATTGCAAGAACTGCTTTTGCACTACATCTACTCCAGTGAATGCTTTTTGAACTGGGTCCCCCAGTGTGGACGCTGCTCAACACATACAGCGATGCCATAATTGCAAGAATTGCTTTTGCATGTCCTTTATTCTAGTAGATGCTTTTGAACTGGATCCCCCAGTGTGTGTGGACGCTGCTCAACACATACAGCGATGCCATACGAACATGCCGCATCATGAGCTGAAATCCTATGGATGCTGTAGAAACACCACAATTGCAAGAATTGCTTTTGCATTACATCTACTCTAGTGAATGCTTTTGAACTGGTTCCCCCACTGTGGACGCTGCTCGACGTGAAAAAAAAATGGCCGACGTGAGATAACCCGACCGGAAGTAGTTTGGAATTGCGTAAGTTACGGATCTTGACGGGAGGAAGGCGTCCACGAATCCATGGATGCCTGGTAGTAATGCTTGGCAAGCCCTACCTTCGCCCTTATCAGTTCCTTCAGGAGAACAGCAGAAGATCGCTCTGACTTCAAACCAGAAGATGACGTGCTGGCCTGCGAAACTGAAGGATTTTCTTAATAGCCCAAAACAGAGCGAAGCCCTATTCGATGACTTCAAGCAACACACTCCCTCCACAAGCGTCCCCTGCGCTGCACAAAAGAGGAGATCGTCTGCGCAGCTCTACAGTGGGAGCATCGCAAAGTGTGCTCATGCAGGGTAATATAATGACTGGCATGCACGCCCAAAGCCCTGAAATTGCCACACACAGTGCATGGCAGGGCCATACAGGCTGAGAGTTTTGCCCTCGACCATTTGAAGGAAATTTTCAGGGCCACCTACTTGGCTGCTTTACGACATTGGCAGAACGGAACAGAATGAGAACCCTGCGGGTTCTGCAGGGCAAAGATGTCCTCCACCCACCTTACCAGCAAAGAACAGCAAACTTCGAAGCAAGTTGCCGAAGCCCACAACAAAGCTCTTCAGCATTTGCACCTCACAGCTTTGTGTCCGAACGGCGGATCCTTGCCAAAGAAATCGTAGCCTCTCATAGCGGATGCTGGCATGGCCCATGCACATGCGGCTACCGGTGAGAACGCGATGATACTGAGTACTCGGCGGCATCTGAAGCCGCACACCGAGCAAACAAAGTCGCCCCTCTGCTTTGGAGGCATGCTTGTTGCTTTGCGAGGTGCTACTTCGGGAAGATACAATAAGCTGTAAACCGTGCGGGTCCTGTTCAGGTGCTGATCCGTCTGCTTCTCACTTTGCTCAAGATTACCTGCACCCTTCGGCATTCAAAGATGCGTTCCACAGTTGCCCAGACATGTTGCACAAAGCGACGGCGCAGCTCGATCTTTATCACTCGCGTGGGTGCTGGGAGAAGTCAGGTCGCGCGCAACTTCTTCAATGGCCTTCCTGTACGCCTCTGCAACTTCTTGACAGTTGAGTCGGTGGTGGATCGCGGAGTTGCTCCAAGAATCGTCTCCAGCAAACTGGCCATAGCCTCTGCTGAGCTGTCCTCAGGCTTCTCAGGCTTCTCAGGCCGTCTCCGCTGTGGGCCATGCGAGCTGGCAATCTCCTCAGGAGCATCTTCGTCCGAGGGTGGCTCCTCTACGCCTCCATCAGCATCAAAGCCCAGTGCTTCAAATATTCGGCGTTCCTCTTTCTTCTTCTTTTCAGGATCTCGTCCAATACCGAGGTTCTTCTCGAGCTTGCGGATGAGAGCCTCGTCTCGAGCTGCGCCCTCCGGGTCAAACAAAGATGCCATGGTGCTGTTGGCGGCAGCCTTTGGGGCAGCGGCAACCTTTTTCGACTTCAATTTAAGTTTCTTGACTGAGCCATCACGTTGTGGTGTTCGCTTCTTCAGGTGCTCAGGCTCCCGTGTTGCTGGGACCTGCGCGACGGGCTTAGCGACCTTGTGGGTGGCCAGCTCGGCTTTGTCTGCCTTTGCATCTCGCTTTGAATCGCGCTCCTGGGTCGCCTTCTCGGCTTTCCTGAGCTTGCGCTTGCTTCGTGCTGCACGTCTGCGGGCAGCTCGCCCTGTCTCGCTGGCTGTTGCCACCTCAGGCACTTCATCCGGCACGTGCCGAAGAAACGAAGCCAAGTGGCTTGGCAGTCCAGGAGCCATGCTGCATTTCACGGCAACACTTGACAATCGATAAGTGCATGAAGAATGAAAACTCAAAGACCCGTGGATAAGAATTGGATGGCCAATGCTGATAGAAAGCTGGAACAGCAGCAGAATCTCACAAGGAACTCTCAAGCCATGCGGAACTCAAGACCCTTTCGTACGACATGACCTCACGAACGCCAGCTTGCTCTTTTGCGGCTTGCTGGTCGCGTTTGGACCTTGCTGAGGCATGCAGATTGGGGAAGTCTGACCCGAGTCAGCCGAGCGCATGTCAGCGCGCTAGCTCGCTGGCCTGGCAATTCAGTCATGAGCGGTATGAGTGCTGCTTAAGTTATGGGAGCCTCTCTGCGAAGTCGCACTCGATTGATGGCTCACTATCAACAACGTCTTGCCGCCAAAACCCTCCCTTAAGCGCAGCGGCATGACATCTTTGGAGCCGGGACATCTGCAGAATCGTCTACGCGGATCTCAGCTCCGTCGCCAATTCCTTTCATCACATCTCTCTCAGCATCGCAAAAGCAAACTGTAGATTCAGGCCGGGGCCGAAGAAGCCAAGCTCCCTTGCCTCATCATCGAGCGGCACCTGTGTTGAGCCACACCTTCAAAACCTGCAAGTAGCTTGTAACACCTGAGCTGCGGACCCCAAATGGGAGCCCATCATCTGCCAAGGTCAGGAGCAGTCTGTCCAGCGGCACCTGCGCCATCTTCGCGTCGTGCTTTGGCTTTCATGCCTATCATACCTGGCCTGCTTGAAAAGAAGCTGCGCTAGCCGCTTCAGCTCTCCAACCGTCATAGTGTGTGGCACCTCACTTTCGCATTGCCACACTAGGTCCAAGCTGCCAACAAGCAACGGTGAATCCCATCATGCTTCTATAGGGAGGAATGCCTTCTTTCGCATCAGAGGCTTCTCCACAATAGCAGCACCAACGGGCCGCAAAGTGACCTGTCATCGCCCCCCCAAACGCTGGACGCTTTTGGCAAAAGGCTACGAGTCAAACCAGTGTTCCGCCTCCACCAGTGCATTCGACAGTGCTGATCTGGATGCTTGCGAGTGCTCAGTGATGTCACCACCAACCTTGCTGAAAGGTGATCTGAATTGCAGCAAGCGCGCATCTTGCAGGCACAGGACTCAGAATGGGGCAACGTTGCCATGAATGGCGCGCAATCGCTCAACCTCAGCTTGGGACACGGCATATCCAAAAGAATGCCATTTGGCATGGGACATCAAGTCTGCAACGTGTTCAGCAATGTCGCAGGATTCCGCCAATCCCTGAACCTGACAGTTACGCAGCGTATGCCGACTTATGAGAAAACACCGAGTGGCAGCAGATCGGGCGCGAACCAACGGGCTGTTTTGCTGGGCGATCGAGAGGAAGTACCTCTTGATTTGCTTCCATGTCTGTTCAGCGTCTGTACTGCACGTCTGGCCTCTCCGCAGCTGTCCTCTCCTGCAGGTTCAATCGCCCCACACTGGGCCCCACACCGCATAAATATTGTCAATCTTGAGTCTCCTTCACTGTTACTTCGGACGCATTGAGCCGCAACAAAGTAGGCATGAGTGCAATGAGTACCTCGCAGCTGTCAAAAGCAAGGTGAGGGACTCAATTCCACGAAACGGCTTCCGCACATCGTTTCCGAATTAACAACTTCCTGACCAGCCTGACGAAGCAGCATTGGCGAGGCAAGTGGTGACGTCGAGTCTGTGAGCGGTATCCGCTGCACCTGATGCGGTGCGTTGCTTCCACACCCAAACTACCCGGTGACTAAGACCCGACATTACTTGACTACCCTTCTGAAGCGATTTCACCCGAGGCCTTGAGCTCCAGAAGAGCATAGCTGGCCAGTGCCCCAATGCTCCGCCAGGATGCCTAAGAACTGCAAAAACAAACAAAACTATTGCAGTACTTCAACCTATTCTGTCCAGCCCCGCACATACAGAACAACTCGGGCTTGAAGTGTGCAAGCATGCGATGGAATGCAAATCATCAAGCAATACCGCATGCAGCGAAGCCACAAGCTTGTTCTCATTGAGGAATAATGCCTCAGAACTATTCCACTACTGTTTTGCCGGGTACAAACTGGACTTTTGCTGCAAGTCTGCACGACATGCTCTGCATTTGGGGCTCGTGCTGTCAGTCGTCGTGGAGTCTGATCCGCTGCAGCTTCAGCGAGACCCTGAATGCCTCAGTTCAACTCGGTTGCGAGGGTGGCCTAAGTACATGACCCTGGACGTCGCTCAGTCACATCTGAGCTGCAAGCTTTCCCCAAGCAAATTGCCATTGAGGTGCAATGCCTAAGCCGTCATTCCAAAGCATACTGCACAGGGGTGGTCAAGGGAAAGGGCTGTCTGCCTGCAAGGAAGGAAAAGTTGTAATGGCACGCCGCCTCAGCACACCAACGCTTTCCAAACTTCATGCGATAAGCCCTTCATACTAGTGTCTGAGAGGGACACAGAACCGTCCAATCAGAGATCCCGTTGTTGTCCAAGACCTGGCTGTCCGTAAAGTACATCTTGCGGATCAACACTGGGCATCCATGCCACTGAGACGATTGCCAAGGACTGCAGCCTCTGCAAGGGACGTCCAGGCGAATCACCCTGCCAGGCCAGCCCAACTTTACAACACATGCTGCAATCATGTCTCCGCTATCTTGCTGCAGTTATATGCTGTGACGATCAGCAAGTAGCCTTTTTTGCACCGCGCTAACTGCACCCAAAGAGCAGTTTAGCACGCACGCAGCTGCCAATTGCACCTGCTTGTGCTTCGGTTCATGTCTTGCAGAAGCTCAGATTGAGCCGGTTCTGGAATCAAATGCCAGCATCCGTACGATGCAAGGGCTTCCTTATGCTTCTCCAGGCTCGCATCCAGCAAGGATTCAACGATCATTCCAAGGTTCAGTGTGCTACACCACGCACTGCACGCACATCGGTTCTCTCTTTCTCACTCCAGGATGGCAGCCGTCGCACAGTTCAACCTAGGCTGCTTCTAGGATAATGCATTGGGTACCTGTCACGCAGGCAGCCACATCCTGGCCCTCAGGATATACGTGGCACTCCTGGAACAAGGAGAGACCAGAGGTGATGCGGAAACTCTGCTGGAAAGACCTTGAAGACATGGTCTCCCGGCCAAGGGTCTGCCCATCCAAGGCGAGATATATCGTCTGCCCAGTTGGATTTTGACGGAATCCATTCCGGCCGCCAGCTCGGCTCGCATGCTTAGCAAACCATTTCAAAGATGGGAGGGCCCTGGCCGGGGCGGAGGCCCCGCCTTCCAAAAAGGCCGAGAGATCGAGCAGATCAACATCTGCCAGGCCCTCAGCTCGGCCACGCAACAGTTGAAACTTATGAAGCTCCGCGATAATCCTGATGAAATTCTTCAGCGTGGCCCCCTCTGCCCTGGAAGCTTTCTTGGCCGCCAGCAAGCGAATGACATTCTTCCACTCACCTATCTGCGATTCAGCTGGCTGTTTTGGTGTAAGCGTTGCAAGTTTGCAAGTTCAAAAGCCTCTGCGAGCGATTTGGCCAGGTCCCCCTGCTCTGTGGCCTCCATCTGCTTGGGCTTCTGTGGCTTGGCCTTATAAGAGCTTTGTGGGCTTCAATAGCCGAACAATGGGAGGTCGCTCCTCCCTTCTGACCGTTGCTGCTGCTGCATGCGCCTCATCCACAGCACGTAGCAGGATTGGGTCATCAATATCCGCGACTGTCTCCATCCAAGCATCGGCAACCGCAGCTCCTCCTGCTGTCACTGCTTCTTCCCATGAAGCGAAAGCATCCGCGAAGTCGCGGTCTTTCTGCAGGAAGTAGGCGTCACGGAATTTCCTGGCACGCTCCTCTGCCAGCTTATCAAGAACGGTGTCCGCGCGCGGAAAGTTGCTGGAATACAACCCGATCCAGAGCAAATTGACCTCAGCCTCCACCAAAGCTTCCGCGCGATGTTCATAGTAATGGGGCCAAGCCTTGGCAACGCTGTAGCCTTCAGGCACAACCGCGGACGCGCTACTGAAGCGGCCCACACATGGGAAGCGAAACCCCCCCGCAAGCTGCTCGCAACGCTGGCAGGGAATCTCGGTACAAGGGACGACCCGAACAGCCGGCATGATGCCGGGTAACTCAGACACTGCCCATGGTCGGAGGATTGTGTTGCACTTCCACAACCGTGGCCCACAACCCCAGTCCTCAGGCATGGGCTCCACGTTGCCACCTATTACGGACCTCCAGGGCAAACTCCTGGTAAGTTTCGGGAAACAATACATTCTCCTCTGCCTACCATACAGCCCAGAAGACGCTCACCAGCGAGGAGTGCCACAGGCCCAGTAGGGTCGCCATGTTGATCACTGACAGTGTCACGACCAAGAATCCAGGCAAGCAGGGCAGACCGCCCGACCAGCAGCACCTAGTTTCTGAACTGCCCTTCGAAAAGCTGAGGGTCTACGTCTTTCAGGCTGTGCAGGAACGATGGGGAAATGGCGCAATTTCTCTGCAGGGTCTACGTGAAGCCATTGAGTGGCGACTGGGTGTCAGCCTGGTTCATAGAAAACCTGCAATACGGCAGCTGGCTGATGAGGTGGCTGATGTGATGAGTCAACTTCCAAGTACTTTGAATGATGCGGGGCGTGGTCGTGAGCTTTTCCTTTTGCTTAGTGACATCGAAAACATTACAGCATGGAGAGGCATTTGGGAACCGTTGCCTGACCAGGACCGGCTAGGGAACAGGATGAGGACTAACAAGACCTTTGCGCTGAATGTGGACGCGTGCGGAGCCAGTCATGACGGATGATACCCGTGTTGTGTTCGATCGCGGCAAGTTCGCCCCGTCTGCATGCAGACTTGCGGGGCACTGGTGAATGGCTACATTGCGGGAGACTTCAACTACCGTCGTTTCCCTTTTGTCCAACGGTTTGGAAATCAGGGTGAGGGTAATCTTCGCTTCTGTAGTGCTATTGTTTTTGTCGGCAGAACCAGCTACACAGTGGAAGGCTTTTCGGTCGCGGCACCGCCTGTTACATCACTATGCAACTTCCTGCCTTAACCCTGCGCCGCTGATTTCTGTTCCGGGTCCTGTTAAGTCGGCCCGAGTACATACAGCGGCTGTGGGCGTTCGTGCTTTTAATTAGGTGCATGCCACATGGGCTGCATCCGACTATGGATTCTTTGCCCGAAATGAGAATGAGAACTGCCTACCATACAGACATGCTCCATACAATCCCTAGGGTCACTTCCTCTTGAAAGTTTGCAAGGATTCCTTCCCTGCACAATCAATCAGCAAGGTTACCCCTTGCTGTCACCTGTCACAGGTATCACACAGGTCGACTCCTGTCAGATCAATCACAGGTCGACTCCTGTTCAGCCCAAAGAAAGCTGCTGCTAGTTTGGCTCACAGCCGGGCTTTGGAACCAAAATGGCGGCAGCATAAACCTTTAGGAATGGTTTGCATGCACCCAAGCCTGCCAAACTCAACATGCTAACAGACAAGCACTGCTCCACACTTGTCCAAGGTTCACAACCGTGCGGCAGGCCAGGTGATCTTGGAAGTACTGGACTGGAGCATGGTGGCAGCCTGCTCCACCATCCTCGGAATGATTCGCCCAATCAGAAGCTGATGTTTACTCAACACTTGCTGTTAATCGTACTGCAGCCAATCTTCTGGTCAACAATGGTTTTTGCGGGCAGGATGTCAGTAATCATGCCGGCCACTTGCCCACACAGCCATGGATGACCTGCTGACCAGGAACTTTCTGAGTGGCAGGCTTTCCGGCCTCAGCCTACTCAATGCATTCAGAAAAGCTGTGGCGGACAAACCTTTCGCACATGAATTTCAATGTCACAAGCCCTCGAGCCTCTGTGCTGTGCTGATCCCCCAATATCTATTTGACATGCATTGCTCAAGGTTCACAATCGGGGTGTGCTGAATCCATGGCACTTCAGAGCCTGCGTCAAGACCCACAGGGACCGGAACGTCCTGCTTCAAACCTGCACGGACAAATTCTGCGAGAGGGAGCCGCGCCGTCATTCGCTGTTTCAGAAATATCCCGGGCCTTTGGCCTTCTCCTCCATGAGGGAGACATCTTTGGTGTACGGGATCACTCCTGTCTTCAAGCATTCCCTCATCTCCAAATTGCGGTCCTCCTCCCAACCTGGGTCACCAAGGACAAACCACCAATTAAGCGTTACTGAGCGCGAGAAAACATGCTGAACGACATAGTCTCGTCGGGCCACTAACGGAATACTTGTTCTTAATGATTCTCATTGGGCGCCCGGTGTAGATCTCCGTTCGGTGCGTGTCGTGAACGCTTGCCTTGACAAGATCCTTAGCTGCTATGCGCTGACCCTTATCAGCACCCACAGAAGAGCCAAAGCTGTCGCCCGTTAATCAACATCCTTACAATTTACAATGAAACAAGCTATTCAGATGAAGGATCGTCCTTGTGTCCCTGAGGCGCGCCGCCCTCCACGGATGCCACAAAACGCGTCCCAACCCAAACGCCGTCTGCACCAAGTGAGAGTGCCATGGCAAGGTGGCGGCCGTCCTCAGTCTACAAAGTCTGGCCGACATCTGATTTAGGAAGCATGTTTTCTTGGTGGCTGAGGCTCCGCGATGCCACCGGCAGCTATGACAGGAACCTGCTTTCCCGTCAGAGGAGATTTGTGGCCCCTGCACAGGTCCACCACCATCGGGATCAAAATGCCTATCAGCAGCCAGAAGATGCCACAACCGCAAAACAATCGACAGAGGAACCACTACCAGCGAAAAGCAGCTGTGACGGTGTGAGAGCTTTCATGGGGCAACCTAAACCGGAAGCATATGATGGCTTAACAGGATTCCATTCAAACAAGCTGTCCGTGTTTAAGTTGAGAAGCTCTGCCACTCTGACAGTTCCTTCTTCCAGGCCTGTGGCAACGTCTCCGGTGTGGCCTCCACCTTCACCACCTTGAGCGCAGATGATGTCAACTCCGGCCTCCAATGCTTTTTGGACGTGCTTGGGCGCTCCAATCCTCGACCGCAGGAGGTAAAGGGCATGACTGCTGGCTGTCGTGAGATTCGTCGACATGGCACTTTCAAGATCACTTAAGGCAGAGGCATGTTCATGACTGGAATTCCCGCAGCATGCAGCTTGTCGACAGCATACTTCGGGGGCACACCAACAGCGCTCACAAACAGCTTCGCACCCATCCTTGGAAGCAACCGTCTAGCTTGGGTGCACAGCTTTTCCCAAAGCCGCCAAGGTGCTCGATAGTAATGTCGATAAGTTCTGGCAGGTCCCCCTTTGTGTAGTCGTAGTTTGTTGCACGAGCATTCCCTCCCACCTGAGGGATGAGGAGGTCAACCTGAGTTGCGTAGTCTTCACGGATTGGTTTTGCTAGCCCTTTTGCACAACTGATAAGCAGAGACTCCCACCACCACAAAGCTTAGAGGGGTCCTGTGTGCATCCACCACTCAACAGTCCAGCGCTCGTCATTTTTGACTTCCCCGTCCAGTGTGGATTTTAGGTGGTTTCTTTTGCCGACTACCAGGACTGGGGCGGGAAGCGAGTTTAGAGTCTTAGGGCTTAAGGGGTACGTTTTAGGAGGGTTCGGGTGTAGAGTTCAGGGTTCAGGTTTCAGTGTACGGGTTGGGCTCCAGGGTTTTCTGAAAGGACCTGTTCCCATCTGCAGGCTTAGGCTCAAGGAGTTAGGGTTTTGAGGTTCTCGAGTCAGGCTTTAGGATCTTTGGGTTCAGGCACTAGGGTCTTACAGTTGCCGGTTTAGGAGTGAGGGTTTGAGTTTAGGACTTGAGCGGTTGGGTTTAGGGTCTTGGGGTTTTAGGAATTGAGGGTTTGGGTCAAAGGTCTTTGCAAGGTTTAGGGTCTAGGGTCTCAGGGTTTGGGGTCTAGGAGCTACAAGTCGGATTTTTAGTGTGGGTTTACGGTAAGGGGGTTTAGAGTTTAGGAGTCGGGGCTCTTGGTTTAGGAATGAGGTTTTTTTCCGGAGGCCAGAGGACTTTTACGTCTGCCTGCATGAGGCACTGCCACTGTGAGCAGAATGTGGGCAAACACTGCAAAAGGCAGGCCATTCGGCCCAGGGTTTGGGGACTTTTCCGGTTTAAGGCTTTGGGCTTATTTAGGCTTTAGGGCTTGGGCTTGTTTTGCTGCTGGCATGGCAAGCTTAGGGCCGAGGATTCTTAAAGTTTCAGAATTTATGGGTGCTTCAGATTAAGTACTTCTAGGTATTGTTCAACCCCGTCGGCTCCTTTATGCCTAGCCGTTCAGCTCAGCGGTCCATTCGCACTGTCGTTGGAAGCTACCAGGGTTTAGGCGCGGTTGGGTGTGTTTGGGTGTGTTTGGGCTTTAGGGTTTGTGGCTCTTCAGGGCTCAGGAATTGCTAGGTGGTTTTTGCCACTTGCATGGCTGAGGCAGCATCACAAGGTTCAATCCGGAACGCCCAACTTAGCGCTAAAGGCAACAGGCCTCCATCAGAAGCTCCGACCCAAAAGCCCCAAATGGCAATAAACTCAATAGGCAACCCCTTTGAGGGTTGGGGGTTGTTGGGTTTAAAGGAAGCTTCCAAACCTCCTTGGGTTTGCTTGCGCGCCATGCATTGAGAACATGCTGAAACCTCGTGGCCCTGCTAGCACTCTCATGGGGCAAGATGGGGCAGGTGGGGGCAGGTGGGGCAGGTAGGGCAAATGGGGCGAGTGAGGCAAGTCGAGCAAGTTGGGCAAACTGGACGAGTGGGGCCAGTGAGGCAAGTGAGTGGGGCAAGTGGGGCAAGTGGGGCAAGTGGGGCAAGTGGGGCAAGTGGGGCAAGTGGGGCAAGTGGGGCAAGTGGGGCAAGTGGGGCATGGGGGCAAGTGGGGCGAGCACTACTACTACTGCTACTACTATGACTACTACTACCACCAACACTACTAGCAGTAGCAGCGATAAAAATTGTGGTACTGGAATAATAGCAAGAATAGTCGTAATATTGAAGGGCGTGCACAGGACAAAAAGCTGCTGCAGTAGTAGTAGAGTAGTAGTAAATTTAGCAGCAACAGCAGCAGCAGTGGCAGTGGCAGCAGCAGTAGCAGCGGCAGTAGCAGTAGCAGTAGAAGATATCGTCGCAGTAATAGTAGTAGTAGTAGTAGTAGTAGTAGTAGCAGCAGTAGTAGTAGCAGTAGTAGTACTAGTACTAGTACTAGTAGTAGTAGTAGTACTAGTAGCAGTAGTAGTACTAGTAGCAGTAGTAGTACTAGTAGTAGCAGCAGCAGCAGTAGCAGTAGCAGTAGCAGCAGCAGTACGTAAAATCTGCCCATCATGCCATTTCGGGAGCAATCCCAATCTACATAAGGCTTCTACCAGTCAGCATCACCACCAAGGCCCAGCACTTCGGCTGCTACGACCAGCACGTCGCTACTACTGCTCCGGCTACTCCTGGTGCTGCTGCTATTGACGTACTAAAAATATCGTATGGTCTCCACATGTCTTCGAGAGATGTCACCTGTATTGCAAGTGAACACATGTCGTGATAAACACACCAGCTGCAAGAGGAATGGCAGCGGCGGAAGGTACAGCTAGAAGTAGCAGGGGACGGGGCTGGGATACATGTTCCAGACAAGTCTGTCCGATCCATCAGCTTCAAGCGCGCTACCCCCATCACTGCCAAAACTGATCAATGCCATCCAGCGGCCCCAAAAGGTGCGTTTGGGTCCTTCAGATTCTCCTTCAGCTCCTTGATCTTGGCCCTGAACATCTTGGGCGTGTAGTTCACCTTGACCACAAATCCCTCCGGTTTTTTGTGCGCATCTTCTGCCGATTGAACTGCGTTGCAGCGAAGCTACGCCGCCCCAAACACCCATCCCACCTGCGTTGGTGACCTTATCATGCTGTGGCCCTGCAGCGAAACAGGCTGGGACAAACAGACAAGGACCAACTAGCTCTTGCATACTCGGCACTGCAGCTGCTAGCTCTGGACTGGCAGCGATGTTCATGCCTTTCGTGGAACAGTCACATGTCGAGATATGTCGAGATATGTCGAGATATGTGATGGCGACAATCTGGCTCAGTAAGCACGCTGCCAGCTAGGAGCACTGGATGCTGGATGCCGAACATTTCGGTGATTGCCGTGTTGATCTTCGGCGTGGATGCCATTGTGACAGCAATGGCCGCGGCCAGAAGTCCTCCAGGGTCTGCTCTGTTCCACATCTTGAAAAGAAAACACCCGGAAGGGCGTACTACGAGTAGCCTTCTGTCCACAGCAACAGCAGCAGACGCTAGGTCGATGGTGGATGCTGCGAGCCAAGGTAACAGCGGGCCGATGGCTGTAACATTGCCCAAGCTAGGGGATTGGAGGGTTCCCTCTCGCTCTACTGATCACAGTGGGGTTTACTTGGGAACTGCCAATTTCATTTTTGGAAACTACCAGGTGTTGAGTCTTGATCTCATGAACTACACAAACTGACACCCTGCATGCCTGACTGCATCTGGGGACCTAGCTCACAAGTGTCAGCAGTCGGCAGATCTTTAAACAGGCAATTTGCAGCACTGGCCTGGATCTCATCCAGCGAATGGGGAATTCCCTGGCAGAAGCCAACGCCCAAACAGTCAGACACGATGTAACTTGTTTGTGCCCTGCATCCCCTCCACCCCATAAATTTGTCGACCATGCCAACCATCCAATTGTAAACACACCATTAACAGCGCATAACGGCACACAGACCTCCTCCAACGAGTTCTGGGAAAGATGCAGATGCTCCAGCTGCGGGAACAGACCTAGTCAACACAGCCATGCCTAGCCTGGAATAGCCAGGTCAGAGCAGCTTTGCATACTGACACGCCCTAGCGGACAGCCAGTTTTGACGACAGAGCAGCTCACTAACGTTGCTTTGCATGGGAGCTGGGACATGCCTTCCCGGTTCAGAAGGCACCTTCTGCATCCGGACTTGGACTTGCTGAGCAAGGGTAGTACGCGTCTTCAGAGCTGGTGTTGGCGTCGCTGCTCTCGACTGAGCTGCTGTCCACTGAAATTGCTTCTTCGTCTTCCTCTGGTGCCATTCCTCTAGTTCGCCAGTGGGCGATTGGAAATTCCATCACGCGTGAGGATACATCTGCACAGTGTGTCACAGCATATTGTTGGGTGCAAACACGTTGTAGGCCGTCAGAGTCCAGAGCGTGCAGATCAAGGCGGAATGGCTTGCAACCGAAATTGAAGCTTAGGTCAAACGGCGTGTCGATCCCAACGCAAGGATAGAAGCGTGGCTCAACTGCTGCAAAGACCAGAAAGCACACCCCCAACAACTCGCCATTCAAAGAAAAGAAAATCCCGAAATACCCTAAATCATCAAGCCTGCACACACCACAACCAACTACATCCCCAACACTGAACCTAGGTGTCCTCGCATGTCTTCTCTGCTGGTCTTTGGGGGCTGCTCCGGAACTGCCCTTTGGATACCCCTTCTTCGGACAGTCCCCTTGCAGAGCGCCAGCAGCAACCCACAGCGGGTTGAACCGTTGACCCTGACCATGCCCATGATACATTTGACCATCATCCCCGTGCAATGCCCAACTGTATGCATTCCAACCTGCCTGTTGTCGACACAAGCCTCGCAAAGGAAGAGTTGCCAGCGCTAGGCCGACAGACACACAATGCGCACCGGGAAGCTCTCTAGCAGGAAGAGCTCTGTTGGTTGGACTTTTGATTTCAACTTCGTAATACGCACAAGGCTGACGAGAAACCCGCCATTTCCAGACAGGCCTCCCACCGAGAAACGGATGGAGAAATTCGGTAGGAAGGGCCGTTGCAGCCCCTTGCCAAGGCAAGGGATACTTTGCCATGACACACCGATCCCCGCCCAAGGGGCAATTGAGATGGCAGCACGTGAAGCGACCAAAGCCATCCTTATTGATGTTGACTTCCTGCAGAAGGTTTGCGGTGTGAATCTCAGGTGTGGCACGAGCATCTGGTAGCTCCGGGAACCGAAAATCCTCCATGGAATGGCGCAACTCATTTCCAACAGTCGCTGAAAGCGATCCAGGGCAAAGAGAAGGACAACGGTCCTCTTCCTCCGACTCCTGTGGTTCTTCTGAGTTTGCAGCTGCATGTTGAACTGTTGGTTTTCGCAGGATCTGCCGTTGACAAACAGAGCCAAGATCCTGAGCATCGCCTACAAGTTCGCGAGCCAAACTTTTCCAATAGTTTTGCAGGGAAAGGGCTGCAGCGAATGGGCAGTCTACTTTCGAAGAACTGGCCAAATCGGTCGGCGGTTGATGACTGTCAGCAACGTCAAAGCGAAGCTCGACCGTGCAGGAGCCGTCGGCATTGATAAGCCGTTCCAAACGAGACCTACAAAGGCCTGCCCAATACGTCTCCAAAGCTCTGCTGTTGAGAAAGGAGACTCTGTGGGTGCTCTTTAGCTTCAAGAAGCTTGCGGGATCCAAAAGGATCGTCCAGTCTGGTGGCAACGCCTCGAAGAGCTGAAGGTGCTCCATGTCAGGACGGGCAGGGAAATCCATGCTAACCTGCAGACTTAAGCCGCAGCTCAAAGCACAAAATTCCATCAACCTTTCAACCCCCAATAACTTGGATGTGATCGCGCTCTGCTCACGAAGCCGCACCAAGCGAGTCAACTGCAAGGAGATCTGGCCAGGTCTCAGCATGAGCAACAGCTGACGCAACATATCCAAACACAGTTAAAGAAGAATAACAATTAGGGCTCCAGGCAATCTGCGTTCCGTTTAGGATCAATGTGCGCACTTTGCACACAAAAGGCTTGAACACCAATCGCTCTGAAATACCTGGGCTGAAGGGCTGTGAAGGAGTCTCCCCGCCCACTGCATGGCTGCTGCATGCGGTACCCTTCGGTGCATGAGCAGGTTGAGGCAGTGCCCCCCTCTGACAAGATCTCAGTCGCGTCCTGCGCAAGGCACTCCTAGACACGAAACCAAATCTGTTTAGGCCTTGAGCCAAGCTTGATGATCATCCACTGTGGCTACACGAAATGCCTAAGACTAGCCTACCGCAGCTCCAAATGACAAGGCCGTTTGAATATTCCAGCAGGGATGAGACTGGCTGCACGCAGTACTCAAAATGAAACCATGAAGCTGCACGAGCAAAAGTGCCATTTTAGAACGAGCACTGGCATGAAGGGCACACCTGACATGAAAGAGGAAGCCTCTAAAACGTTTCTCTCCTCTCTACGAATACCATGAGCTAACCAGTTCACCGGCGAGGCTCTCTTTCCGACACATCCAGCACATCCACTACTAGTGGGATTGAATCCCTGCGCGACGGTCTAGGATTCTGCAAGTGAAGCTCTTTACGGATTGGTTCCTCCGCTCCCTTCCTAAGCATTGGGAAGCTGGGAAGCAGTCCTCGACAGAGAGAGCCACTCCAGGTTGGGACACAGCTCGCATATTGCGGCCACATCTGCCCACTCGCAGATCGGCGTCTTGTCCTTGCTGGCTGAAGCAGCTTTCAGCGTTGCCACAGGTCACATACAAAACTGCAGGGGATGGGAAAGGCGGGAAGCGTTCCTGCATAGACCTTCCCCCCACCCTGCAGAGCCATGCTGGGGCTGAGTAGGATCCACTTGCAGCTCTCGACTGGTGTTTCCAACATGCTTTACTCCTCAAAGGTTGCTGGTAGCATGAGAAGATACCTGCGCAAAACAAGGACCTCAGCAACTGCTCTGGCGGGAGCACTTGTACGGCAGCAGCCGGAGCCCCACAATAGCAAAACAAAAGCCCCAAAGGCTCACGCCAATGAATCCGCTTCCATCTGCTGTCCTCCCAACTGCCACCCAAGCAGAGCCACTGTGAAGGGCTTTGCATACAATCACGAGCATAGCGGGTTGCTCCAAAGAACGACAACGAAGATGAGAATAAGGGTCGTGACAATCGCAATTTCGGGCTTCGTGTGGCTCGACGCGGGGCCAAAGAACATGGTGGACGCCCNNTCCCCCCCCCCCCCCCCCTGCCCATCCGTTCAACCCATTGGACCAGTCCTCCAAACTGAAAACACTCAAGTTGCGCACGGTCTGCATGTATGCTTGGGAAAAGTATGTGTTCAGAGATCCATGTTTGCAATAAAAAATCATCATGTCATCACAATGCTTGCAGCAAGGGAAGGTTGTGCGGATCATTTCGTGTGCAATGGGGAGGGCTGTGCCACCCCCTTACCCACTCACTTCCAAGGCCATCCGTGGTAGGGAAACGCTGTGCAAATAATTTTGTTTGCAAAGGGGGGGTGCTGCGCTCCCCCAACCCCCGCTTTTTTAAAGGCCATCCATGTTTGCGAAAATCATGTCATCACCGTAATTGCAACAGGGGAAGGCTCTGCGGATCAGTTTGTTTGCAAGTGCGCGTGTTGTCATTACTGTTATGATTGCTTTGATGTGTGCTGCGCACTTGCGCTTGTGCTGGTGCGCTAGTACTGGACGCGGGTGGTGGTGCGCTTGGCGAAATCGCAGCGGCACGGCGGCTATGGCAGATGTTGATGGCGCGCTCAGTGGTGGTCGAGGCTGTGATGATGATCGCAAGAGGAAGATGAGGTTCAAGAGCAGGAGCTGCAAAAGCAGCAGCAGCAGCAGCAGCGGTCATAATTTGTCAGGTAGCATCATGACGTCCACACAATCATAGGGTGCGGTGAGCACGCACTCTCTACAACAGTGGTCGCATCTTAGGGCTTGACCAACCACAGGCTCTTCAGATTGGGCAAGCTCCTGGGACTACATCCAATGTTGCAAACCCTCGATCTGCGCAGCGGTTTCTCATGCCCGTCCAGTCACCCGACCAAATTTCATCAGGGTAGCGAGAAGCCAAAGCACTCTCGGCCAAGGACATCCTGCGCATATCTGTCTGAAGCGCTGTGCTCTGCCAATTGCCTCCAAGCACTGAGGCCCTGACTCAACAAATCCCTCTAGTCGCTGCTGCCTCTGCTCAATGTCATAGCGCCCCACGAACCTGCCAAGACTTCAACAGACAGAGCATGCGAGTTGAATAGAACTGTAGAAGAAGCATGGCGGGCTGGCTCTACTGCCATGGACTTTTCCCTGCCCTCCACGGCACAGCAGGCATCCAATCGCCAAAAAGAAATCACATGCCATCGCACACTTCTCTTCACTTTGCCAACCTTGGAGTCCATGTACTCCATAGCATCCAAAGTCTCTTGACGTGTGCTTTTCTTGGCAGCCTGCTTGCAACCAACAAATGGTTCGGCAAGACCCCGACTCACAACATGCCCACGCTGCGGTTTTGACAAGGCTCGCAGAAACCAGCATGACACGCCTCAGGCAGCGCCGTTGCAAAATATTTCTCTGCGATCGCGCGCCTTAGCTGATATCTGTTCAGCTTGTTGTATCTTGTTGTCATACACCTTGTACAAGAGTGCAGCCACAAGGTAGTGCGCACGAGCCACTGAATTGGCATCCCAAGCTCGATTTTCTCCACCTCAACCCAGGAAGAGATTGTTGGAGAACGGCTGCACAGCTATCTTTGAAGAGTGCTGTCTGCATGCGCATTTGCCTTCGCGAAGCTGCCATGACCGTCCCTGAAAACCAGGATGTACTCTAATGCATCATGTGACAGGACATCAGGTCAGGTACAGCATAGGCGAGCAACCGGCAAGTGAACAGCGCATTGCCCTGGTAGGTGCCACTGTGCTTGCCCAGCCCTGCCTGCAGGAGCGCGTCTGCATGAGGTATCCGGACCTCACCTGGCCCTGCAGTCTTATTGCAATGGCTGTTTTTTCTTGGTCTATCGCATGCGCGTGCTCTTGTGGCAGTTGGCCCACGTGACATGAGCTGTAAATGAACCGAACCCCCTCGCAAAGGCGGAAGGGCTCGAACCCTCACACCGTATGAACGTGACCATCGAGCATGCTGAGGTACATCCTGGCAGGATTCACTGGCAAAGTCGGACGGGCAGCGACTTTAGCTTAGCGCTGCACAAAAGGATAGTGTGGCATGGCCTGTGTGCAGCATACCGGAGCCTTTGCAGCAAGCGGCGAGTCAGGAAGGTCATAACAGAAGAGCAGCGAGTTTAAGCTCGAGGCGCAATGCCTTGCAGAGCGAAAGCCAGCGGCAGCCTCAAGGCACTTCTGAAGACAAAACGGTGCGGGCCCCAGAGCCTCAAGGCCGATTCACGCCAATCCAACACAGAGCTGAGATGCGCTTCTCGCTGCATTCGGATCAAGCTGCTGCGCGTCACGGTCCACATGGACAGGTCTTCTGTCGCCTCCAGCGAGCAACGCTGCAAACTGGACCTACAACAGTCATCGAAGTTAGGCTGCTGCAATGATTCGATTCTTGCGTGATTCGCCGGTGAACCTCCAAAAGCACGACAAGCGTTTGCCAATTCCGCCACCTCGTCCCAGGCCCTCCCTTCAACACGGCTGATAGCCAAGTGGCAGGTTCAGTTCACCAGTGAATTGCCCTCGCACGCTGCAGTCCACGAAGCTGCGGCCGTCCATCTGCGCTCCACCACGGTCGCAGTAGTCATCCAGAACCTGTGCTACACCCTCAAAACGACTTGGCTTGCACCACGCTACTCAAAGAGTCCGAGACAAAAATGAAGTCCGTGCACCGAGAAACACCCACGTGCCCGCTGACAAGCAGGAAAGCGAAGTCAGAGGGATCACCAGGATTCCACAAGACGGTGCCTTCAACAGCACGCTGAAACCTCAGCAAGCATTTAAAACTCTCACAGCCCTCCCAATAAAGTGCTGACCGAGCTTCCTACTCGAAGAATCTCCGAAGTGAAATACTCGTTTCAGGCTGCGGAAGGCCAAGGGGTTCCAACAGGTTGCAGCACACGTCATCAAAGAATTGCTGGTCAGCCTGACACTTATCTGGAACTTCATGGTGGCTGGCAGTGTGCAAAACATGTGTGCAAAGTTCCGCCTCCAAAGCTTGAGCTGCCCAGGGTTTTGAAGCTGCGGCTTGCGAGCGACATAGAGTTGGCGGTTGGGCGGGCAGACCATTCGAGAGAGTCAAAACCTTTGCAGACAACTACACGTTGGGGTATGAGCAAAGCCTTCAGCAGCTTTGCATCAGATTTCCGTTGTGCTCAATCCATGCAGCAAAGCTCAGCCCAGGGCCATCTCTTCCACCCGCTGAACCGCCGCATCCATGTCCTGATATGGCCAGGAACGATCAATCAAGTGTGGGATATGCAGGCGTTGCACGCACAAGCTGGTGGCCCTGCAGCCAGGTCTCAAGAAAGAAGCTCGCAGCGGAAAGTCGAGTATATCTTGTTACCTGCGCTCCAGATTCAGGGCACAAACACCTTGCAAAAACAGTGCTGCCTTGGCCATCTCTGCCAGCAGGCCGCTGCACAGGAGCTCTATACCCCTGCTTTGCAGTTGCGTTGCCAACATATCCAGCTGACCTAAGCGATCTGCTGACAACGATTGCCAACCACGAGGCTTTTAACCAGTAGCACAATGCCAGCAACTCCTTCGGCCACGCAGCTGTAGGCTGAGGAGTCAATCGAGATGACCTGCGCAAAGTCAAGGATCAAGACCTGGCACTCGATGTCCTGCACCCTCTTGGGCAGGGAGTGCGTGTTTCCAAAGAAAAGCACGCCGTGAAGTCTCAGGACCATGAAGCCACCCCTGTTGTCAAACTCTTCCAGGATCCGTAACTCTATTTGGCTTCTCAGCTTCCGAGAGCGTACACCCCGCCCTGGGTAAAAGGCAAAGCGTACAGGATCAGAGCGCGCAGCTTGCACTGCGAATGCAATGCACGCACACAGCAGTCCAATTAGCAATCCGTAAATGAAGCTGACGTTGCAAATCGCAGCTATTGAGACAACAATGAGATACTCCAGGATATCTAGCGTCGGCCACGTGTCAACAAGGGCTTCCCACATGAGTTCAATGCCAAGGTGGCCCAGCAGCACCCCAGAAAGAACTCGTGGAAGATAGGATATTAAGGAACTGGCCAGGGGTATGACCATTAATACAACCAAAGCCACACAAAAGCCAGTCGCCCTGGCACCACCTCCGCACTTGAAGTACAGCAGACTCGATGAGTAAACCATGTAGTTCTGCAGCGTTCCTACACAAGCGGCAATTAAATTTGCAACACCATGTGCTGACAGCTCCTGGTTTACGTTGACTTTCCGCCCTGTGGCTTGTGCAAGAGCGGGGACATTGACAGGAACATGGAGGCAACTGAACACCACGATGCCCATCAGCAGTGGAAGCTGGTGGGGGAAGACCTCCCATGCGATGAGGTCAAGTCTCCAGAGACTGAAGTAGCTCGTCGTTGCTGGAAAGTTATTGAAAATCCACCCCTGCTCCTGCGCCAGCTCATGAGAAAAACCAGCTGCATACAGAGCAATCCAACTGGCGGGGACCAGTCCCAAGAAGAAAAGCGGCAACACGAAGGATTCCCATTCCCTGCCCCGTGCTAGCCGTAAAAAATTCAGGAGGGTGAGCTCCAAGAGGAGCAAAAGAAGGATTCTTGGCCAATGCATTGCCTGCTGCAGGAGCGCGGTCCCGCTCCAAGCCCAGCCAATCCCGGTGGTGGCTTCCACGCCTGCTGCTGTGATGTAGATACCCATCCCACCGATGCAGCCCATCAGCACTGGCTTCGGCAAAATCGTGAACACCCGCTCCAGCTCAAAATGACCCAAGAGTAAGAAGGCACCAGCTGTTGCAAGGGATGCTGTCGAATACAAAGCTAGAGTAGTAGGCAGAATCCTTTCAGACCTGTCCGCCAAAGATGTCGACACCGATAGCGCCATCGAGTGCAACATCGGGATGTTTTCAACAATCATGCAGCCAAGCCCCTCAGGCAAGCTCGAGCAGCATGAAAATACAGCTTGGGCAATCGCGGCAGAGAGCAGCACCATCGAAACACCGAGCCCATGCAGATCATGAGCCATGGGGAATACTAAAAATCCATATGGGAAGTTATCCAGCACCGTGATCAGCACTGCGATCCCTGCCGCCAAGATCTGCTGCATGCAAGCCATTGACAGCTTCAACGCAGACCTTGCATCTTGGCTTGCCTGAGCGGGAGCCAGTGTTGACAACAAGAAACACGAATGAACATCTGTCCTTCTTCGCGGTCATGTTTAGTGATGCTGGGACAAGCAAGGTTTGGCGATACAGCAGGGTCTTGCTCTGTCTTTCGATCAACTTTTTGCTTGGCGGCTACAGTCTCAAGGCCAAGGAAGGACCACCTTGAGCATGGTATGTGGTCACAAAGCCAGCTGTGGCACCATGTGGGTTGGCAGGGCAATTCCACAGAATTCCAGGGTGTGATCACAACGCGGAGCCAGCGGCTCTTTGCTCAAGGTGCTTTGAAGCCAAAAAAAGTTGTCCACATGTCTGGCCCCTTTGATCTGCAGCAGTGACCACACAATTGACAATCCAGGCTACAACTACAACAGCACCCCGATTGTTAACCCGGCCAAGGCTTGACGTCATGATTCTAAGCGCTTGAAACCAGCCGAGCTGCCTGCTGGCCTTCCAGCTCGACAAGTGGCTGCGTGATGCTGGGGTCCATGGCAATCATGAACAGCATCGGAGGAACAGTAAGCAGTTCACGTCCCGTCTACTTGCAAGTTTTCTTGCTGCAGCAAAGCTTTCACAAGGCCTTTGCTCTTTGCGTTCCACTGCTCATGTGGCAAAGAAGGTCTATCGCTCTTTGGGAGGGATGGAATCCTGCCGTTTGCCTTTATAGCCCAGGCTTCTACGCTGGCAACTGGAATCGAAGAAAGCAACATTCAAAAGAAGCTGTCTTGCACCTGTATTTTTGCTTGGTGCTCACCCAAACAATGTGTCATGGATGGTGCTGTTCGCGAGACTGGCCTCATCATACTCGACACCGACAACTTCTACGGCATCCTGGAAATGTGTGTAGCAGGAGCTGATAATTGCTTTGTGCGCATCTTGCTGTCTGTAGCAGCTGTGGCGCCAGCAGTCTTGCTTGACGTGTCCGAATAACCGGCCTATGTGGCACCCGGACATGGTATTCCAAAGCATGTTGATTCGGTGGGCCCGGCCTCACCCGCTGCAGGCTTTCCTGGTGCCTCAGCCCAAAGCACAAGAAAGCAGGTGCTGGAGGCAGATGAATCGCTTCTCAGCCAGCTCAGTGCTCAGCTTGGAGCACTCCTGGCCTGGAAAAGTAGGCTGCCATGGTCATCTACGTCAGTGAAATGCAACGCTTTTTTGGGACCACACCCCCACCGGATGGTCACCAGGTTGGTGCCGATCCTGGCCCGCTGCCCAACCTTTGCTACCAAGCAGCCATGGCCGAGCAATCTTGTTTGCCGGCCCCACCGCCCTTCTTCTCCACTACGACAAGGTCCCGGCCCAAGTCTCGGCACCTCGTGCCATTTAAATTTTTGAGGTTTGCACCCACATATTGATATAAAAGTAGGAAAGAGGAAACACGTCACGGCGAGAGCTTCGCAATTAGGCTTGCCACAATCTTGCAGCTCGCTTCTTGCGCTGTTGAGCTGAGGCAGCAGCTGCTTCCGTTCCCGCTGTCATGCTCAGCCATCGCTAGCTCAGTGAATATGGTTGGGAGGCTGAATACCTGCCAAAATCTTGGGTTGCGGACAGGTGCTACAACTGCAGGTGCGCTAGTTGAAGAAATCGATTTTCAACTGATCCACTTCCCATACGCTCTTGCACGTGTACTCTAGACTGCAATCTCGGTGCAGCTGTGGAAGTCGAGGCATACGGGAAAGAGCTTCTGCACACAACAACCGTTCCGGACCGTTCCGTGACAGTGCCACGCTGCTGTCCTGCATTTACAACCTGTGCGGTCTCCTTTTCTGTTTTTTCGACTGGAGCTTTTGTCCAATATCAGTCAAGCAGCCGAGCAACATCAAGAAACTTATCCTTGATTTTGGAGAGGACCAAGAAGCTTCACACACCACGCAGCCAAAATCCGCAACCAATGCATCATATTGACTACCTGTTGCCTAGCAGTTGAAAGTTTGATGTGGGAAGCCACTCCGGAGCTGCCACAGTAATGCTGACGCGCTCTCTGTCCAACATTTAGGAAGGCATGCCCTCTTTGAGGGAAGTCTGCTTCGAGACACTAACAAGCAGAGGCAGACCACATAGCACCGCATCTTGCGCCCTGCACCTAAACCTGAAGCTGAGATTTTTCGGCTAGCTTATCTCGGTTGCGAATCCACTCATCAATCTGGCTCCTTCTTGCATCCGGCTCAGGCAAATTCAAACAAGCCATAAAGCGCACACTGCGGATTTTACCTCAGGCACACAGGCTGCCAAGCATTTCCTGGACAAGACTCCTTGTGAACGCTCTTGACATGCTCCAACAAACAGCTTAGGTCGGTAAGCTAAGTCGTGGGCTATGGTCTGGGCGCTGCTCAGGGTCTGGTTTGGTCAGCAGCAACACAAACTCTGCAGCCTCTGAAGTTGTGCTTTGGGCATTGTACCTGACGGGGCCCTTAGATACAGGTGGAAAAGATGTGAACCAAAAATATGTGAAAAGATGCTGCCGCTGCAAACCCGCCTCGATGGATGTCTTACCTCAACTCCACAGACCCATCCGGTCAAACAAACTCCCTACACTTAGAGCTCTCGTGAGTTGTTCGTGTCCTCAACCTAGGCTTGAAAAAACAGGGTAGCTTCTTGGACTCCAAATTTCGTCGCGCAGCATGCTTCTCCAACAAGCGGTGGTTGTTTGCCAGGTTGGCAAAGTTATGGGCGGAGAAAGCGTAACAAGGCGCTGACCAATCTCCACCGGAATCCCGGATGCCACCGGTGAGGACGTTCCAGCAAACTACACCAAATGAATAGATGTCTGCCTTAAAGTCCTTAGCTCTTGTGCTCCAAGTCAAAGGCACAAGTAGAAAATCCTAGTCACATTTCCGGCAAAAATCTGAATGGTACACATTAGGGAGGCCCCTCAAAGCTGCGGCAAGTATCTGCAAACAATGGTTTGGATATGCACTGTCTGCATGTTGCTGCACGCCCCGCTAGTCCGCTTACATACTTCCAGTCGCCACTACATGCCACCCTCAGCACACAAACCTAAATTCTGGACACCTTGGAGCATAGCACTACAATCCCACAAGCAGCTAACCTCTGAGGATATCCTTCGCACATTGGGGCGCCCCTGCTTGCCGCAACACGACCCGCAGACAGCTAAGCTTTGAGGAGCATCGTAAGGCTTCTGGATAACCACCTCGGGTGCAACATAGGCAGGACTTCCTGGAGGGCAGTTCTGCAGCGTGAAGGCGCCACTTGAGACCAAGCCTACGCCAGCAGCCAGAACAATGCCCAAACGTGCAGCATGTCTCAACATGATGTGGCAAGTCTGTCCAAACTTCTGGTACAATGCTACAATCCCGTGATGCGGCCTATTCGCCCCATGCCGAAATCTGTCAGCTTCGCACGCCCGTCGTCAGAAAAAACAACATTGCGAGGCTTCAGGTCGCGCTGCAACGTGCCGAGCACCATGTGCAGGTGTTCCTACGTGGAGCAAGATGAACAAGCTGGAAGGAAACGTGAGGAGTGATCCGAGCACACAAGAGCAAACACCTACACAGCGCACACTCCCTGTGCTGCTACCGTAAACTGTCATCTCCTGCATCTGCCTAAGACAATAATAGTCCAAGCGTCCAAACCCAGAAAGATTTGGCCCAGCCAGGTCAAGGCTTGCACTGGCACTTTGTAGCCATGATCAATGTGAGCCTGGTTCACCTTATCCTGCAGATCTCCACCAGCACAAAACTCCATGACCAGCGAGGAGAAGCATGAGCCGCTTTCTATGTAATGGTTACCAAAAATTTGCACGATGCACGGGTGCGGATTCATCAGCACATGATTCGTAACTTCCCGCTCTCGCAAGATGGTCGGCTGCCGGGAAGTGTTGCTGCGCTTTACCGCATACCACTGGCGTGATCTTAGGTCCATAGCACGCCAAACAGTACCAAACATGCCTTTGCCGAGAATAGCTTCTCGAGGCACATAGTCCCGGCGAACCATGGGCGGGGAATTTAGCCAGTCGGCCACCGCATCACCTTTTGAATCAATCGGTACGAGGTGGTCCATTCCTTGGCATGAGAGAATACCCAACATGCACCCTGGCACATCAGTACAAGTTTTTGAGGAGCATCATACTCGTTTGGGTTAGGTATGGGCCGTCTAGATTCTGGGAAGATGTGGGAATAAGATTCCACCGTTAGCTTGCGATTGTTCCCTCGCCGTGGACCACCACAAGCGAACTCGAAACACTTTCGATCACACACGTTCGTCATATACCTGGCATTAGCTGGCCACTGCAGGGCGGCCTGGACATCTCGATCCCTGTGTTCTCATGCAGGGGAATACAATGCAATTGATACGACGGCGCAATATCGGGATGCAAAGGCTCTTGGACCAAAGTTTCTTGCCGAACGGCCGCTTGGTTGTCGGCATCATTGGATAAGGGAAAACTGTAATCTGTCCAAGAGTCCTGGGTATCGCTCCCCTTGCTTCAGGAAGTCCTTGATCATGTAATTGTTCCTCATTCAGATGCACACATAGGCCTAGCTCACAACTTCGAAGTGAATTTTTGCGTGCCCAACCGAAAGTATGCTGATTATGCGTGCATCATTTAGAGCCAGGTCCATGCCAGCCTGGTTGAACACGCTCTAAACCCAGATACCCCACAAGCCGAAAAAAATCATTATGATCTTTTCCGGCCCTGGCCGAAAAAAAAGCATCGGCCGACTCATGCCAGCACCCAACGCAGACTCACTAGCAAAATTCCGCAGTTCTCGACCTGAAGTCAACCTGCAGGCAGTACATCCTCCATTGAAACCCGATCAAAGTTTTACAGCCTGTTTCATGCTGCTGCCAAACCTTCTGATCTAGACTCTAAAAAGTGATGCTACACAAGCTGGTAAGGAATGAAAACAGTGCAATATTCAGACAATTTGGTCAACTTGCTGCAATACACGTACCCTCGTTCTTCTTCTCCACCATTCTGCTAGGTCGAGCTGCATGGTTGGAAGCTTCTGGCCACCCGCTTTCTGCGCACAAAGGGAAAAAGTGCCACACAGCCACTCTTCAGCGAGCGCAGCAACGTCTGCAGAGTTTGATGTGCACCTGGCATCTGCCACGGTAGGAATTTCTTTGGTGAATAAGCTGCAACTTGCGGTTCAACCAAGGTGCTCTGCAATGAAATCTTGGATACTGCGTGACAGCGGCGCGAAGCGCTGCATAACCTCACGATCGGTCTCCTCGTTGGAGAGCATGCTAACCTTCGTTCTGCAAACAAACAGCAAAGGAAGAAGGCCAAGGAGCCAGGACTAGCAGCCCGCACAAAACAAGCAAATCAGTACGTTCTGCCAGGACGCTTGGTTGCAAAGAGAAACCAAAAAGCTTTGCATAGTGCTGGTGACTTTCTCCGCTGCTCTGGGCAAATGCAAGGATTCCGGCACTGCCCGCTGCAAGATTTCAAGCCCATCCTCTCCCTGCAGAAGCTGCGCCAAGGCTTGCGCAAACTTTGCCAACGAATGACGTCGCGGATATGCGAGAACACTCTGCAGGTTCGGCAAGTCATTCACAGAGCAATTGAAACTGCACCGGATGGTGATCATACCACACCCATTCGCAAGGCAAATGCGATGTTCCCTGGAAGTGCCTGCCAATTCCGTAGTGCTGATGGGTAAACGCGCAACACTGACGAGAGCATCCGAACAAAGTCGTCGGACGCGATAAACCTTGACAGTCCTTAGTGGCTGGAACGTCCACCCTCTTGCGCTCAGGTGGTAATGTTTTGTAACATCCTGGGTGGGATATTGATAAAGGGAACAAGTAGTGCACCACTTGGGTACCCAAACATCTGTGTTAGAATGGTGCAATAATTCCTCCATCAACAGCATCTGGCAAATCCCCGCAAGACTCCGGCACTTGCGCTCCTATTCAACCCGTAAGGGCATTTAAAGAGAACATGGCTGCAAATATTGCAAACTTCTCCACCCATGGATCATTTCAGGAATCCGTCGGTCCAGAAGTGTGGACGCCAGAGACATAGATGCTAACGAGCTTGCTCGAGGAACCATACCACCTTCGTACGTAACAATGTCTTCCAATGTGAACGGAATTGGCGAATGCGTAAAATTGACATCGCCATGACTGGGCACGTGCACTATCTCAGTTTGGCCCTGCCCTCTGCCAACTGAAACAGTCACGTACAAGCGCCAGGTATGTGGTTTGCCCAATAACCACCGGCACACCTTGAGGATGCTGTCACCGCTCAGAGAATTGGGTGTTTGCAGCTTGCTCCCTGTTAGAATCCTCACCCACAGCAGGCTACTTGGCGAAGGTGCCGCAGTGGCACCACCAGCCGCGCAATCAGCGGAGGCGGAATGTCCCATGATAAATTGAAATTCATTCCATGGTTCCACGCAACCAACCCCAAAAAGACTGGAGAGAATGTTTTGTGACCATGTGTGTGAATGTCGGTACTCGGCAACAATAATTTACAAAGAGCCTATCCCCAGCATCCGATCTGCAAATTTGTCATTGCGTCACGACCTTTCTTGCTTACTGCAAAATTGAGCCACAATGCACAATTTCCGAACACAGAATTGTTCCGCAGTAGCCTGCTTGGGAGCATATTGGCATTCGAAACACGAATTCCATAGATGTTTGACCATTGTTGTGGATTTCGAAGCCTTTGTATTGTTTGTATGGAGCAACAGGATATCTGACATAATTTCCAGCTTATTCGGGTGCACTGTGAATGTGTGTCCAACGATTTTTTTCGGCTGACCTTTTCAAGACCGTCAACTCTATCCCAATGCAACCGGTACAACCCTATATGCACTTGTCCTGCAGGGCAGCTGTCATGCAAGCGCCTCAGGGATCGATCTCACGGAGGCAGCCGATTTGGAGGCGCCGGATCCGCGAATTAGAGTAAGGCAGCAAGTGTGATGTCATCCGCATCTGCTGGCAAAGGAGGCATGGCCCATGCGCCCAGAGCAGCGCTGCCGACTGCTCTGTGGACCGCGGCGGCAGAAAGAGAGACCCCCACCACCGTCGTGCCCAACCTTGCGCCGTTGAGGCCCCCAAGGCGGGAGGCGCGCGCCTGCTGCGAGGTCACAGTCGAATTTTCGGACAGTGCTCTTGCAGCCTTGCAATGCCCCTGTTGCGTGACGCCTCCCGGCAAGCAATAGATATTGCTTGGCCTACGGCCATCCGGGCCAGCCGGTCTGTCCGTCAACAGGATTGTGCACGCAGCAAGGTCTGGAGGCCCTGGAAGGTTTCAAGGCTGGCAAGAGCAGCACCACACATTCACCAACGTTCGTGCGCCATCAGCTCCAAGCCAAACGCGAGGCCCAGGACCACCTGCTGCAGAGCATCCCACGCATTCAGGATCTGCAGGCAGCATGGCTGCTGCTGCTGCTGCTGCTCTTTTGCGCAGCGCCTCGCGCCAACTACCTTCTCCGGGCTCTGCCACCTCACCTCACCCATGCTTACGCTTCAATGCATGATGCGGCCATCGCATGCTGCGTCGCTGCTCTGCTCGAATATGGGGAAGGGCCCTTGCCACAACACAGCCTGCGCGCAGCGCAGCTAGCATTGAGGTTTGGTGGCCTCGGCCTCAAGAGCGCTGAGGCTGAGCGCTATGCAGCCCACTGGGCCTCCTGGTGCGACACTTTGCCGGTTGTCCGAGCCCGGGCGTTGGCAACGCCATGCTGCCCGAACCTGTGGTGAGCGCGCGTGCGAGACGCACCTTGCTGAACTGTCTCCCGCGTCCCGTGCGCTGCTGCTTCCACAGGCCGGACCCCTTTCGGCAAGGGCCTTCACTGTTGCGCCCACCCATGACGGCGTTGTCATTCCCAGTGCGCAGTTCCGTGTGCTCCTTTTCCGCCGCTTCCGGCTGCCGCTGCCGCTGCCGCCACGCCTCTGCGGTTGCCACGGGCGCCTGGACGCACTCGGGGACCACCGCACCGCCTGCGCCACAACAGGCGCGCTCGCCTCTCGAGCGCTGCTATTGGAGCGGGCAGTTGCCAGGGTCTGCCGCGCGGCCGGAGCACGGGTCTCGCGGAACGTCCGTGTGGCTGACATGAACATTGATGTCCCTGTCGCCGATGCACGGCGCATTGAGGTCGTTGCCAATGGCCTGCCCTTGCGGCACGGGTCACAGCTCGCCCTTGATGCCACCATGGTCTCGCCGGTGACGCGGACTGGAGAGCCGCACCCCCGGGCTGACACACAGCCGGGATGGGCAGCGAACAACGCCGCGCGGCGCAAAAGACGCGACACGTACCCTGAGCTGACACGTGCGCGCCGCTGCCGCCTTGTCGCTTTGGCGGCGAGGCTGCAACCTTCCTGCGCCTGCTCGCCCGGCAGCGGGCACCCGCCGTGCCAGCCCACCTCCGTCCGGCTGCACAAGCGGCCTGGGTCGCGAGATGGGCGGCGCTGCTTGCAGTCGCAGCCCAGAGGGCATACGCAACCTCCCTGCTGGAGCTCCCAGTTGCAGGGGGGGTCAACGGCGATGAAGCCATGCCTGACCTACCGGAGCTGCTGGCCGACGCCCGTGGGGAATTCCCCATCCTGGCTAGTCGCCTCCCAACCCGGCCGCTGTAGGCACCTGCCAACGGCCGCCTCTGCGTAGGGGTTGCCATTCCCTCCGACTGGATTCCCACAATGCAGGCGTAAAAAGGCGCGAGAAAAAAAAGGAGCAGGGAGGCATCTTGTTTTTCGTCGAAAAAAAAAAGGGCGCTGCTGGAATGTCGTCACGATTTGTGAGTCTCATGCCGGGACTCTCCGACTTGCTGTTTTTTCACCTCCGCCGTCGCAATGCCGGTGGAGCCACTGGCCAGCGTTGCCGGTTGGCAGGAATATTCCCATGCATCGCGAGCAGTTGCCAATTCTGATGGAATATTGGGGGCAAAGCGTGCAAGAGTGTGCTGATGTTAGCACACAAACGGATCGCGATTTGGGCGTTGCTGTTTTACACCGGATGAAAAATTGATTAAAATTTATTTTTCTTTTTTTTTTTTGGTGGTGCTTGGGCATTTTGTAAGCCCAAATGCGAAGACGTTCCACACGAAAGCTCAGTTCTGAGCCGAAAATTGAGGATGTACGCAAGCTCAATTTGAGGTCAAAAAATGAAAATGTTGAGAAAGTAAGCCTCGTGTACGGTGACACATGGGCATGTGTCGGTACCAGATGTCAGGCACCGAAACAAAAATCTGAAATGCGACCCTTCCAAAACGGCGCAGGCAGATCCCATTACCTGTCCAAGGTTGTCTCACCGGCCATCTGTACAATTAGCTTCAACACCTCGGTGGACCAGCGTTGCTTTGGGCACCCACGCCGTCGACAACCATTAGGTTGCAACAGCTCCCAAGTATCCTCCCGAAAAACACATGTTCTCATGATGTCCCCAGGAGGCAGGTCGGCTATACGTTTGAACAACATCATCTGTATAAACTGTAACATTTTGGGAAACGCATTGTTCTGTACTCAACTCAGTACTTCATCATTGGAGACACGGCTGATGAAGGAGTGCGGAATGAAAAGGTTGAGAACATCAAATTTGAGGATGCTCTACGTGGGAACTCAATCCAATGTCCACATGTGAAAACTCTAAAGGAATGAACTAACTCACTGTGTTAAGATGCTCCTATAGGATGTCACAAAATAATGGACATCGTTGCAACAAAATGAGAAAACTAATGTTTGTTGTTATAGCAATCAAACTAACAATGAGACAACACATGACATTCCTGATGATATTACGAATGTTTCTGCGCTGGACTCAGCTTGCCAGCCTCGCCGCCGGCAGCGCAGCACAACCGGAGCAGCCTTGCGCATAGCCCGCCGGGCGAAGGAACGGACCTTGTCGTCCTTGGCATCGAGCTCGGTGGCCGGTGGAGCTCGGAGGCAGCCCAATTCGTCCGGATGCTCGCTCGGAGCCGTGCCCGTGGCCCCGCACGTTTTGCGGTCGGGTGCCACGGCCGCTTACGTCTCCCGCTGGTCTGCCTTGTTCTCGTTCGCGGCAGCCCGCGCCCTCCCATTGGGAAACGCTGCCAACGTCGACGGGGCGGCACTCGATCTCAGCGATGTCCTCGCCGAGACTTTCTCTGCTCCACCGCTGGCCAGCCAACTGCCCCTGCGGTGGACTTTTCCTGCCTTGGACTTTCGCAGTGTGCCACGGGTCGCCTTGGAGTTTGGCTTCCCGTCATGCCTCGCACTGGGACTGCGGATTGGCCGGAAAAGGTGCGACAAAAAAAAAGAAAAATACGAGCAAACAAAAACTAAAAAAACATTAACGCGCATAATCCACATTTCCCTTACAACAAACATGGCAATGACATGATTTCTTACCGTAAGCATGGTTGTTTTATCCCCGCATATCGGGTGTGGACTGAAAAAAAAAATTCTCGTCCCCAGCTTTTCAAAGAGACGGTGGGAGGCTCCTCTCATCCAAATACAGCGTGGCGCACGCCCGTTCCCTTGTAAGGCAGCTTTCTCCAAGTGCAAGCAAAGAAGACAAACTACAGATGGACATGGGGTCCCGAGCCATGCGCGCACAGGCGCTCCCAGCCCCTGCATGACGCCCCACCTCCCTGTCTTGTTATTTTTCCTCTTGACCTTACGCTTCATAGGCGATCTTGCGTCTCCCTACGTCCTGCGACCGATAACTCGGAGGCCCAGTAAGGCAACCCTCCAAACAGAAAAAAAAAAATTGTTGATGGGAGTCCAGGCCATGCAAACAGTGGGGTTTCCGGCCCCTGCATGACGTCCCGCCTCCATTTTTTCCTACTTCTCCTCCTGGCCTCTAATAACATCAACAATGCTGTGTCCTCCTGTGACAGACAATTCTGAAGCTTTTGTAGAGCAGAGTGCGAACGGGCGATGTGTAGGGGGGGTTCAACACCGTACGAGATAACACCCGGAGCCGAAACGCAGGCCATGTTCCCCCATGCAATGCTGCGCTTGCATGACGTTTCCCCCTGTTTTCGTCTTGCTTTGGCTCCGTGATTCCGACTGAGGCTGCTTGAAACATCAAACGCATCAAAGTATACACCAAGGACCCTAGCGCAAAACGGCTGGAATCGAATGATATTTAGCATACACCGGTCACGATGATAGATTTCTATGATTTCTTCCCAAAAACGAACCCTCCCCCCATCCCTTCCAAACCGATATGAAACAGGAAGAAAACGACGCACCATCCCACTGGAAATAATGGATAGGTTGTTTGACTATTGTTTGTTTAAGTAGAAAATGGGGTTGCACCCTCCCCATTTAACAGCTTTCCCCTACTGCAACCATGGCGATGACATGTTTTTTTCCGCAAGCACGGATGGCTTGGAAAGAGCGATGGGGTGGGGCCCCCCCCGAATGCGCAAATAGAATG